TTAACCTACTTATTTTAATTTCAATCCTCATTTTCAATTTTTAATTTCAATTTTAATTTTCAATTTCCAATTTCAATTTTCATTTTCAATTTCCAATTTCAATTTTCATTTTAAAATTCAGAACTTCTTGATAATAAATCTTGACCTTTTTCACCCATTCATTGAACAATCTTCCAGTTCATACAGCCCAAAAGACACTTGAGTTCAATCAAATAAACGAATTGGAAAAGAAGCATTAATTCTACATGAAGTATCATATTAGAAGGACAGTAAACTCATACCATTCCCAACATATTGATGGAAAGTGATAAACCTACACAGTGCCTCAGTGCAAAGCAGAAGTCCATTACATTAGGTATGCCTTATGGTCGGTCCCCAACCAAGCCAAGACGACTCTCGTTTGTCGGAAAGGAGTGCCTGTTTACGATATGGTTGGTTATATCATAATTTATTATTGCACGGTTCAATGTTATAAAGAGCTCCCTCCCTTTTGCTGCTGTCGAGAGGTCTTTCTCGTTTGCTCTGGAGAATACGGTTTTGATATGTGAGCAAACACATACCTAACCTACCCCCCCTGACTAGGGTGTGCAGAAGCTCCCCAACCATCCAACCCTTGACATGTTGCGGTTTTCTTCGACTTTGTCGTAGAGACTACCCGATACTCATACATCATGTAATATCCGATCTACATTAAAGATTATTGAAATTTTACTTTTCCGACTGCTCCCCTGCCTGCCAGTAGGTCCTGGCTCTTGTCCGGAGGAAGTCCCATAAAACTATTATTATTATATTGGCATTGGGTTTCTACATTTACTGTGCTTGACCACTTTTGATCTTGCTGCCTGCTCCTTTTGCTTAGAGAGCTTGTAGCATAAATCATACTTTATTATTGCCTCATACTGTTTCACACACACACACAGTTGACTTTGGAACTGGTTGCAGCAGCAGCGGAATGTTCACCCTTTTGCAAGGAGTGTGCTGCATATGCGACACCAGAAAGAGAAAGAGCAAGCACGATGAGTAGTAGTAATTTAATGGTCGTCGTCTGTTTGCATAAGGCCGTTTTAATCTGGTCCTTCGCCAAAGGTACGTACATACATAAGTCCACTCCGACGAGTAACTTCGCTCCGTTGCAAGAGAAGCACAATGTTTTGCAAGAGTTAATCGTGTTTGTGAGTGGGCTGCAGTGTACGGGAGTTTGAGCGTGTAATGAAGAGCGATTAGAGGAGTTTCGGATGGTGGAGGAGGAAGGGAAGAAGGCGTGTTGACCCTTTTGAGGGTGAGGTGTAAATTGTTGGAATGCTTTGCCAAGTAATTTATCGAGCTTTATCCGTTGTTGGCTTATGGTTTGATCTCGGCTGAAATCTGAGTTGAATAGTGATGTACCGTAGGAGAGGTATTTCAAGAGATGAAGTTGTTATGGAGTTAGCTCTGCTGCTAAAGCAAGGCAGCTTGGCAAAGATAATGGCTTAATGAGATAGGTAATTCTTGCAGTGGAACGGTGCCAGTTTGCTCATTCATTTTAAACAAAAATCAGGCCTAAAAGAAGACGAGACCGCCCTCTATGCATAAAATGTGAACAACGGGAAGTTTGTACCGATTGTTGTGTTTTAACTTGGGTTGTAGGACAAAAGGTCGAAGCACAAAAGGTCGAGGGAAGAAAAGGTCGAAGGAACAAACGGTCTAAGGGACAAACGGTCGAAGTAGACAAAATTTGGAAGGGACAAAAGGTCGACAATTGAACTTAGATCGACAAAACGTCGAAACGGAGAAAAGGTCGAATAAACAAAATGTCGATATTGATAAACTGGTCAAATTGTTGGAGAATAAAATGGGTGACGAAGTCTCAAATATTTTTTATTTTTCAAATCATGAGTATTTTTTTAAGTTCTATTAAACTCTGAGCGAAAACTTTCTAAACAATATTTTGTCAATTGTGATGTTGGTATTTTGAACTTTTATCCACTTCAACTTTTTGTCCCTCTATGTTCAATTGAACCTTCTGTCCATTCGTCGTTTTGTCTCCCTAAATTTAATTCGACATTTTGTCTATTCGATCTTTTGTCATAGATTCTTTAACTTGATCATTCAACCAAAAATTAGTTTGATTCGTCACGCGGCACGTTTGGATGGCATTACCGAACAGATTAAAATTTAGGAGCAACTTTAGAGGGCTCACCGAACAAGTCAGGAGTACGACAAGAACTAAAAGGAGGATTACAATAAAACGAATGGATGGATTGACAGGCAATTTGCGTATTCATTTCCTTGGGACAGTTAAGAATCTCCTTCCAACAACTTGATCAGCCAATTGGTCAGAAAACGAGCCATCCAACAGGAAGATGTCCCAAAGAATGGGATGAACAGCCCGCCCTTTATCCACGAAATATTAGCAACAGGGAGTTGGCATCTTCACTCCCCCCCATCCAAATCGCTTCAATTGCCCTGATGGTCCCTCCTCATCCAGAATTTTTGATACATAGTAATATGTAATATAATAATCAGATAATCAGAAACATAACGTCTACAAACAATATGCGAGTCGATTGAAATCTGCCGAACATAGATTAGGGCTAAGTTGATTCTTCACATAGAAGTGGTATTTCAAGAGATGAAGTTGTTATGGAGTTAGTTCTGCTAACAAATTCAGCAAATTTTATAGAAATTCAGCAAACTTCAGCTAAATTTCATCAATAACGAATCAGTGACGTTCAAGGATTTTTCTTTAACTCCATTGAACTTCGTAAAATTTCAGAAACTTTGTCGATTTTCAAAGGACATTATAAGCAGTTCTGGAAATTTAATAGAAATTCGGAGAACTTCAAATAGCTTCAGAAAATTTTGTACAAATTCAGAGAGCTTTGTAAAAAATCGGGTAAACTTCGTTCGTTTTGACGTGGAACTACGTATTTGTGGATGTGTGGCGAAATAGTGTTAGGTTTTGAACGCTTGTAACTTTGTCATTTATAAACGAAATTAAAATCTAAATACACCAATCGATAGGAAATAACTATAGAAATCTGCTGAAATAACTTTTCCAATTTACCATGAAAAACTGGTGAGAAATGTACACATGATAATTGTATCACTGTTTTCATCAAATAAATCATTTTTAGTGAAGGCCGAACAATTGGTCCTTCTCAGGACGACACATTTTTACAGAATGAGTCATTTTCGTGCGATAAATCGTCGGTATTTACCGAAGATTTTTGTGATTACCAAGACTTGTGATTACTCATGTTTACTTTATTGTTAACATGAATTAAGCACTCATGATTTCTTCATGATCATTACTAGTTGATTACCATTGATTATTCATGATTACTTGTGATTATTCTGATTACCTTGATTACTTATGACTACATGATTATTTTGCGAAATCAAAATGGCTGAATATGCGGCGTCGTTGACAACACTACCAACTATCAACAATTTAAACCAACCGTTAAATGTCATGTATGTTCGGGAAAACCATTTCGAAATTTTAAAATATTATTTAATTTTCAGTTTATCACCTGGATTAAACAAAAAAAAAACAACCTGTGCACTGCACCGCCTGCCTTGCCTGCCTGCCCCTCCCCCAAGAATCAACATTCCACGAGCCGCCTTTCCGCTCAATTGATTGCACCCGTGTGACCAATTTCAACACGCCCTATCGAGGAAGCGAAACAGGCGGAAAATTTATCGCGCAAATTAACAAACTGTCAATAAAAATTAAATCACTCCGGAGTTTTTCCGTTTATTTTTTCTGACGTCGGTTTTTTTTTGCTTTTGTACGCAACCCCGTCGCCCCCAGGTGGCGATGGTGGCCTTTGAACGGACCCGAAGCAGATAAAATCAATCACCGGGCCGCCGCCGGGTATCGTTGTCATCGTCGAGGACGTCGTCATCACGCGCCGCAGTTGCTCCATCGAGATTGATCATTGAAAATTCCCCAAGCGCAAAAAGGATCCGTTTTTATCCAATTTGGATGACCCCCTGCCGGCCGTTCCGTTCTCCTCTTTAGCTCTCTCGCCCTTCTCGCCGTCTTTTTTTCCCCCGTTATCTCGTCCTTCCAAATCCGATAGGTGTACAGCTTGGGGTGGCGAATCACTGTCAGTTTGAAGTTTTTTTTTTGTTTTACTACCAAAGTCATCCTCTAGGGCCAGAACTTTTTTTTCGAACCCAGCCGAATTGGAACGTGACTGCAAATTATTCATTCGTTGTCCTGGTCCACCTCTCACTTTCTCTCGCTCTCTATCTCACTTTCCCATGATGTCTGACGGACTCCTGAAAATTTATTGGAAAATAAAACATACGCTTCGATGGATTGGTGGATTATTTTAATTTTTATTTTTCGACAGATCCCATTTGCCTACCCCTCGGCGGTGGCAGTTCCCAGAAAATTTCGATCGGACGCTGTCGCGGAGGAGCGATACAAACAAGGCATAGCAGAGTGCAATGCAATCCGATATCGGTATCCGATAAATAAATCGAATCAAAGCACCCTCCCCCCCCCCCCGGGCTTCGCTTCGCAGCAAAACAAAACAAAAAATCCCATCGATTCTCTATATGTCTCCCTCTCGCTCGCTCTGTTCTGCGCTGGAAGAGAGGAAAATCAATTTTAAAAGCATTAAATTAATTTGTTCGCTTTGGTTTTTTTACTCGATCCGAAAAAAAAACAGCTCCCATTGAACGGGGGAGCAAAGCATCGTCGGGATAAATGTTTTTGACATTTAATGCCGTTTTTTTTTTTTTTCGTTTGTTGGTTCTTTGTTTTGATTCCTTCCGCTTCGCGCAGTGGGCGTCAGGGTTCTTAAATTTTCAATTCAAATTGACGGATATGTTCTATGGGAATTTTGCACCGGGGACGGTTTTTGTGCTGAACGTGTCAATCTGGTTGTTGGTGCATTGCTTGTTTATCAATGATTGATATGTCACGTGGATTGTTCAGTAGTTCTAGTTTTAAACAGCTATCACTCGGATTCTAACATCTTTCCTCTCCATTTTCTCTTTCGCAGTTCGCCGTCAAGCTAGGCAACAAGCGCAACGAGAAGCGCCTCTCGACGCTCGTCGAGCTAACGACGCTTATGGTCGACGACAAGCCGCCGAGGATTATCGACACGACGGCACAGAAGCTCGACCAACAGAAAGCGGCAGCGGCAGCAGCAGCTGCAGCAGAATGCTGGAATGCCAATAGCAACAATAGTAAAACTATTGACAGTAATAGTAACATAAGTAGTCCAACCGTAGGCGTGCCGGCAACGGCAACGGTAAACGGCACCAGTGTCGGTGGCCCAGTGACGGCGGCCGTGGCGGCAGCGAACGTTACCAACGGTGGCAACAGCTGCAGCAACAGTAGCAGTAGTAGTAGTCTAAGTGGCAGCAGTGTTGCCAGCAGTGGCCTCACCGTTGGCAGCAGCAATAGCAATGGCAGCAGCAGTAGCAGCCTCAGCGCGCTCACGGCCGCCAGTGGAGGCGGCGGCAGCAGCAGCAGCAGTAGTAGTAGTAGCAGTAGTAGCAGCAGTAGCAGTAGTGGTATCGGGAGCAGTATTATTAGCAGCAATGGCGGAAGCGGGGTCAGCAGTGGCAGCAGCGTTAATCATATTAATCATGTAAGTAGAACAATTTCCTTTCTCGTTTTGAACGAGACCGCAGGGGTTTTTCTAGAAATCTCTGAACATAGTATTAGGACTTGTCATTTGAAGCTTCAAAGACTACGCTTGATTTTCAGATGGCAAGCTCTCACTACTTCCATAATTGAGGTTCTTTGGACATGCCCTCAGAACCCAACATAATACGTAGTGTTCTGTACTTGTTTTTCTTTTAAATTCACTGGACTTGGTTCTTTGGACTAGTACTGGTACTCCCTGAAGTTATTCGTGACGTCCTGCGTCTTCAGAGTTTGCTGAGCTTTCAGAATATTTTACATCATTGTCATTTGCACTTGTTTTTCGCACTTTTTGGACACGCCTCTAAGTTTAACCATACTTGCATTACCAGTCTGACTATAGCCTGGTTGACCTGTGCTGTACACAGAAGTCGTCATCCGTAATTCCTTCTGTATTATTAGCAACGATTTTTTTTATGGACGTTGGGCCTGTCTCAATCCCCTTTTTGTCGGAAAAGTATCATGCACAGCTCTGTTTAGAGTCCCACGCTTGCACGAAGACAGTTATCAGCCATCCCTAGCATGCGGAACAGACGCTGTTCTGAGCTGCATTAGATCAAGGTCCCACCAGGTGGTTACTCGATCTTTCCTATGGTTACTCGTACCTCATCCAATGGTACGCATTGTCCAACCGTTTACCAGCCTCTAATTCAGGGTGGCCACTCAAACAGGAAAACCTGGAGCATCACTTAACCTTTCTAGCTTTGATGCTTCCAACAATCAACCAATTAAATAATTACTAAAATCGGAACGTACGGTACGAGATTTCCACATTTCATCCATTCATTGGATTCTGAAGCATCGTGTTTAAATCTTCGATTTAAACAGGCCCGATGTTTTCTGAATCATCTTGCCCCTTAAATGCTGCACAGTAGACCCGGTCGTTTTGATATGTGTGACGCATCTACGATGTGAAACATATATCAAATAGACAAGACAAATTATGGAGGTATATCCATCATTTTCCAGGATGCTTTCAAGAACTGGCTGTGTTGGTGTTTGATTAAAGATTAAATTAAATAAAAGTCTCGGAATTCTTTGCAAAACACTTTTGGAATTCCCTAAAGAAAAATCTTGAAATTCACTTTACATTTATTTTTTTTTATTCTTAAAAATTCTCGCAAGAATGTGCTTTAATTATATTCTTAACCATTATCTTGAAATATTCCTAGTAATCTCTTGGTATGTGATTTATTATTTAGAAAAGTACTATCCCAAAATTTCCTTCGAACTTGATTTTTTTTTTTCAAATTTCTTCGAAATCTCCTGAAACACTACTCACAGTTGCTTTGGAAATATGTTAAAAATTACCTCCCAAACCATCCTGGAAACTTCTAAAAATTCCTCAAAATTTCTTATGAAATCCCTTAAAATTCTACAAAGAATTGTTTGAACTACATTAAGCAGTTTGAATCCTCTTTCGACTTCCCCTTGAATGCTCCTTGAAATTTATTCAGATTTGCTTTACAGTACCCTAGAACTCTACTCATCATCCCCGTAATAGTCTTTTCAGAACTACCTTGAAAATCACCTGTAGTTCTCCTTACAATTTTCTACAAATACTTCGCAAAATAACGTGAAATTTATAGTCAAATTCTATTGAAAGTTGCCCCAGAATTGCTTTATAATTATCCATATAATTCGTCTACATTTCTCCTCCAGCCAATGTTTTGAAGCGTCATAATCTTAAAAAGTTATCCTAGTCCAAGAGTCATGATTCTTTTTCTTTAATCTGAGATCTTTAAAATAGGCTATACTTAAATTCAAAAATCTCATAGAGTTCAAGCATGAAAAGTGCTGGCCGTGCTTCAAAAATTCTTATGTAATCTTAAAAAAAAAAATCTTAATTCGGGAATTCAAATGTTATTCCGTAGATTACGTTGTTTCTCAAAAGAAAACGGAGAAGGGTTTCTACGGTTTTCTGCATTAAAATTGCTGAAGTCAAGCATGCCGGTATTTCCTTATTACCATATTTAGCTGTTAGCTGGCACCTTTGAAAAAACCGTGAATTTAATTTCTTAAATTCAGTGGCCACCCTGCTAACTCCTTAGCCTTCAAAGTCCATGGTGGAGGTTTTCTGAGTATGCCCTGAAAGTTTGCTGATTTTACCATTGAAGTGCTCCGCTATTGCCAATAAAAAAGACACGAAAACCCCTGAAAATTCCTTTTCCTTGAGGTTTCCTGAGCTTACATTTGATGTTCTCTGATTCACAAATTATGATCATGTCAATCTAACATGGCGACCGTGATTGACACCTGAGCTTCTACATGACGATCCTGTCTTCACAGGACATGTGCACGTTTCCATTTGATTGGTTACCGGCAGAATTCATCTTTACATACCTTCCCTGTGGGGGAGTCCCTTAGCTCAGTCGGTAAAGGCGCAACTTAAAGGAAGACCATGGATGGAGGCGGCTGGATACGATTCCCGGCTCGGAATTTTTCAGGTTGAACCTTTTCTCGACTAATTTGTATGGATTGAAACCTAAATCTATCAAAAACAGTCTACGTAGTTTATAAACGGTTTAGGAACAAAAGGTCGAAGGGACAAAAGGTCGAAGTGACAAAAGGTCGAAGGGACAAAAGATTGAAAGACAAAAGGTCTAAAGATAAAAGGCTTGAAAGACAAAACGCTTGAAAGACAACATGTCAAAAGACAAAATATAGAAAGACAAAATGTCGAAAAACAAAGGGTTGAAAGACAAAAGGTCGAAATACAAAAGTTCGAAGTACAAAACGTCGAAAGACAACATGTCGAAAGACAAAAGGTCGAAAGATAAAAGGCCTGAAAAACAAACTTGAAAGACAACATGTCAAAGGACAAAAGGTCGAAATACAAAAGGTCGAAGGGACAAAATGTTGAAATACAAAAAAGTTTGAAAGATAAAACGTCAAAAGACAAAATATAGAAAGACAAAAGGTCGAAAGACAGAATGTCGAAAGACAACATGTAGAAAGACAAAAGGTCGAAAGACAAAAGGTCAAAAGACAAAAGGTCGAACGACATAAAATCGAAAGACAAAAAGTCGAACGACATAAGATCGAAAGAAAAGAGGTCAAAAGACAAAATGTCGAAAAACAAAGGGTCGAAAGACAAAAGGTCAAAAGACAACATGTCGAAAGATAAAAGGCTTGAAAAACAAAACGCTTGAAAGACAACATGTCAAAAGACAAAAGGTCGAAACACAAAAGGTCGAAGGGACAAAATGTTGAAATACAAAAAAGTTTGAAAGACAAAAGGTTGAAAGACAACATGTCAAAAAACAAAAGGTCAAAAGACAAAGGATAGAAAGACAAAAGGTCGAAAGCCAGAATTTCGAAAGACAACATGTCGAAAGACAAAAGGTCAAAACACAAAAGGTCGAACGACATAAGATCGAAAGACAAAAGGTCGAACGACATAAGATTGAAAGACAAAAATGTCTAAAGAGACAAAAGGTCATAAAGAGACAAAATGTCTAAAGAGACAAAGGTTATAAAGAGACAAAAGGTCGAAAATAGATGGCGCAAAATCGATCGTAAAAAACCTGTTATTTGAAAATGTGTGATCCCGATTGGAAACTTTAATGAGTAAATTATAAATTTGTATTTTTTCGCTTTCAAATACTCATTAAAAAAATTAAAATGTTTGTCAATGTCAATGGCTAAATTAAGGTTTCGACATTTTGACCTTTCAACCTTTCGTTTTTGGTTGTAGGACAAAAGGTCAAAACACAAAAGGTCCAAGGGGGTCATAAAGGACGATTTAATTCTAGTGGGACAACAGGTTGAAAGGACGAAAGGTCAAAAGGACAGAAGGTCGAAAGGACAAAATGTCGAATTATTTTAATGGTACAAAAGGTCGAAGATAAAAAGGTTGAACGGACAAAATGTCGAATGGAAAAAGAGCAGTTCCACGCCAAATTACGAATAGAAAAACTCGTCGTTCTCCGATTGGCATGAAATTTTGCAAAAATTTCAATCATTAAAAGTTTTGTTAAAATTCGACCATTTTGAATCTTAAATATTTTCAAAAAAGCATCCTTGAAATTTTTCAAAAAAATGTAGCACGTAAATGGCACTGTTGATCGAAATGACATACGAGATTAAGTTGTAGGTTGCAAAAAAGAAGCAAATTTCTGTTTAAATCTATTTTAAAAAAAATCCACATATCTCATAAAGTCTTAAATTAAAGCTTTTGTAAAATGCAAACTTTTGAAATATTCAAAACCAGGACAAATTGATAAAAAATGTAGACTTGACTTTTGGTCAAATGTTTGAATTTTCCATATAAATGTTTTAAAATTTGTGTGGGCGGTCAACCGGCGGTGATTGTCAACCCCCTCCCCCCATAAACTGTCTACGTAGATTATGAACACCCCCTAATTTATAATCAGAAAACATTTTTTTCATGATATTTTAGATTATTTTCTGTGGAAAAACATCCGAAAAAGCGTATCAACAAAAGTTCAAAATTTTTAGCAAAAGCTCTAGTCCTACGATTTTTGTCAGTTTTCAAGTGACCATGATTTTAACCCTTCAAAAGTTTGCATTTTTGATAAGCTTTCTATAAAAAGATAAAAAAATCAAGCAAGGTAATTTTTGGATATTTGGGTTTTTTTTTATTTTGTATTTTTACTTAAAAATATTATGTTTATTTTTCCTTGAAAGATAATATTTTTTACTATAAGTTGGTCTCCAATGCCGTTTCGGTAATACAATTCTTCAAAAAAAAATTAAAGGGTGCCATTTTGATAATTTTACAAGATCCAAAATGACCGAATTTCAGCAAAAATGTGTGTCATTGCCCTTAACAAACAATTACGCAAAATTTCATACAAATCGGAGAAGGTCGATTCAAAACTTTTTTTTTTGCCTGGAACTGCTCAATGGAAAAAAAAGGTCGAATGATGAGAAGCGGGACAAAGGGTCAAATGGATTCATGGAATAATTCGACCTTTTGCT